GACACGCACTACACAGGGACAGGGAACATGGACAAGGGGGGCGGGACACACGCACATACTACTGCTGTTAGCGACGGCGGAGGAAGCGGGGGAACGTTTGGTTGGTCTGGGGTTGATCGCTGATGATGTTGTTGCTGTTGTTTCCGTGGTTTGTTGTTGTCAACGCAGCCGGCCTTTTTTTCACCTTTTTTTCTCTGGAGAGAGAGGGAGTCCCACCAACCAGCGTGTGTTGCACACACCACACAGCGAGAGCGGGACGGGAGCAGGGTGTGCCCTTTGACGATGGATACCACCCCCCTCGCTAGCTGATGATGGACACCACCACCCCCTGTAGCGAATGATGATGGATACCACCCCCCTCTCCAGCTTGTGACGATGTATAGCACCCCGTCCCCACGGCTGACGATGGATACCACCCCCCTCGCTGACTGATGATGGACACCACCCCCCCCTCTTGCAAATGATGATGGGTACCCCCCCCCTCTCTAGCTGGTGATGATGGACCGCACCCCGTTCGTCTGTAAAAGACGCACGAGCCTCCTGCAGGTACTTTTGTGCAACCACCACAGAAAACTATTCAACCTCCAACTCTAGTAAAAATAGTTTTTCTTTCAAAAAAGTGTGGCCCGTTGGGGGTACGCTTTTTGTTTTGTTTCGCAAAAAAAAGCTGTTCAGAGGGATCGTGTGTGGAGTATGTTCGCACGAGAAAAAAAAAAATTTCATGCACAGGGGCGTGAAAATTTAGCCATGGCTGTCTGTCTGGTGTCTGGTGTCTGGTGTCTGCGCGCCCTAAATACCCAGCAGACTCGAGCCCATTTCACCATCTCGGCACCAAATTGCAAACTAAAACTTGCGCACAACAAGTAATATTTTGCCCGAGCTGTCCCAACCGCTACCTTTGCAATCCGTGGTCGGTGTCTCGAGATAGCACACCATTTGTGCAAATATATATATATTATATGTCACATGGACGCATCGTCATTTCATTTTTGTTTTTCTCTGGGCAACAAACTACTCGCACATGAGAAACCACGACGCACTGCCGTGCTGCACACATTGCTGCTGCTACTGGCAAGACACGCACTACACAGAGACAGGGAACATGGACAAGGGGGG